AAGTTATCAAGTAGCGAAGCAGAATTGTACAAAATTGAAACTGAACGAGATTAGTTTGATTAATAATTTGGTAAAGAGTTCAAAAATGTTTGACAAAAAAAATGACATGCGAGAATGTTTCAGTGTGAGGAAAAAAAAAGATTGAAGGGGGTATTGTCAAGTATTTGTCGAAATCGGCGACAAGTAAATGTGGAAAGTGAGGAAACACATTGCAAATTGTCAGTCAGAACAGAAAACGGATTCAGCATGATATTGTTGATTGAGGAGAAACCCGCTAGTGAGACGACTAATTAAATGATCACTGCAAGATCTAAACTAAAAAATCCGAAGGATGCTTTTGGGAGCTTCAACCACTTTACATTGTTCGATTGTGCACAAACCCCTAACCAATTAAGGATCTGGATCTGTAAATCAAGCTCAGATTCAGACCAAGTTCAGGTCTGGCTTCACAGTCTAGGCCAGAACCCGTCTGTGCCTGACTTTGCCGAGAAAAGTAGTCTTTGAAACACCTGGCTGTGTTTTTAACTACTAACTTCTACAACAATTTATGCTTCGTATCTGATTCTGGAGTCTGGAAACCTTTAAAATAAGAATTAGGTAAGTGAGTTTTCAGAAAATCAAAATCTAAACGAATTCTGTCCTTCCAACCCTCTCCAATCAAATGCAAAAACTGTTGCTAAAGAGAGGGACGCGAAAACTCCCTCTCCCGGTAATTTGTAGTGAATTTTAACAGTTGTGTCGAATACTTAGCTAAAATGATGGTTTTCAATATTATTGTGACCGCCAAACGACTCGGAAAACAGAAAAATAAGTAGGAGCCAAAATCATTGTCTTTTCGTAAGCTGGGCTACTCATACTCATCGGTCGTTGTTAGCGATATAGCCTCGGTTGTACCCTCCGAAGAGTTACTAGACATTTGATAGCCCCTTTGCCATTGGTAACCTAACTTCAAGCTCAAATATCTTGGTGTTGAATGTTCAATTTTAATATTTCCTTTGGCACCCTTTGGATGCAATGCAAGTCTTCTCTCTCCCTCGATTTGTACAAAATTATTTAAACCGGACTATAACCCAACACCAAGATATCTGAGCTCAAAGTTATTGGATTGTCAAGTCGAGTAAATGGGCGCGGAGCGCCATTTGACTGCTATTTCCAAGTACAGGTTGGGAGTCCAACTCAAATATCTTGGTGTTGGGCTGTCCGATAGTTTTGTACAAATCGAGAGAGAAAGACTTGGTGCATCCAATGAGTGCCAAGAATATTAAATTGAACAGCCCAACACCAAGATATTTGAGCTTAAAGCGGATTGCTAATGGCATAAGTGGCGAGGTGTCTATCAAAATGTCCCTGAATGCTGATAAGTTTTAAATTGACCTGGGATTGGAATGTGTTTTTGCCGAACCAACCTGTTCCTAGGGGACGACCGTTCGGATCAGCATCTCGATACAAACATGCAAGATATGTTCTCAGCATCACCAACCATGAGAACATTTGAACGATCGCTGAGGATAATCAAGAGAGAAGAGAACAAGCTGATGAGGTGATTGCCTGAAATGAAAAATGAAGCTTTGCAAGAATTTTGGAGAACGAATACACTCTACTTCCCTCACCGTCTGGATTCAATTTGTGCATTCCATAGATCCCTCAACGAAGTACTTCGCGGTGTGGGATTGGCGACGAAGAACTGGTGAATGCGCCAAGACCGGCAGAGGTGGCAAGGACAAGCGAGGAAAGGACGAGAGCCACAACCAAACTGAAACAATGGATAGGAGTATATTTTAATGAGTTTCTTAGCTTGTAAAATTAGCACTGAATCACATACGAACGAAGAGAAACGGTAGAAGAAAGGATTCCTTCTCGAGAAAAACCCCATAACCACAGTACCGATCACAGAATACATTGTGAAAGCGATGCAAAACAAGAAGAGACTTAACTAAAATTTTTGGATTTTAAGCTTTTATTTAGTTACTCACTTTATCGGAGCCGAAAGCCCAAAAGTTGAAGGCAGAAAAGACGAGACAAGCGAGAATTGATAGACGGCAAAGATTTTGGCGGCTGTCTGAAAATTGGATGAACTAATTGAAACAAAATACAAATTAAACAATTCTGCATTGAAATCGATTCGTTTTCAGTCTTACCGTTGCATGAAAAGTCCCTCCACACATCAAATAATCAGGATTCGGTCGTTGAAGTCCATTTGGAGAGAAAACTCCTCGAATAGGTCATATGATAATCGTTTCTGAACACAATAATTGAATTGTTAAGGGTGAAAGGATCATTCAATCAAGTGGTAAAATTGAAAACACATGATGCAAAGATCTGTAAATTGTTTTCGTCACCGTAATGTTCCTAAGCGACTCGTGTGGTTCATAAATTAGAGAAGAGAAGTCTATTGAGAGTTTTAACTAATTCGTAAAGGGTGATTTTTAACGTCAAATTTTTGATTTGAAGATAGGTGATCAATGGAAATAAGATGGGTTTTCTCAATCTAGAAAAATTATGTATCAATGCTGGTTCAATTATTCAACAAGAGCTCAAACGATTTCTTTTCAAAAGAAATCCTTTGAACTTGATACAGCTTAGTTCTAGCCATATAAATATCCAAAAACTATATGCAATTTGTTTGAAATAATCAGGATTCGGTCGTTGAAGTCCATTTGGAGAGAAACTCCTCGAATAGGTCATATGATGATCGTTTCTGAACACAATAGTATGAATATGAGAGTAATGAATGACCAAAACGCAAGAACAGTCCATGTATGAGAGCTTTGATCTCAAGCATGGCCAAGTAAAGGCCCTCAACTCACAAATCACTTGACAAAAGCGCTAAAGGGTGAAAGATCGATGTGATTAAGTTTGAAGGGATTTGGGAAAATAGAAGAAAAGATTGAAAAGAGTTGAAAAAGTGTGGGGGCAACGAGCAGAAAGGAGAAAAGGACAGGGCAAAAGGCCAACCCTGTATATTTGCGCAACAACGGGCAAAGAGGGGCAAGGCATGACATTGAGAAAAGAATGAAGAGAAAAGTGATCGAACTAAATTGACTTCATCGAGGAAACTTTTCTGCCATCCATCAATTGACTGAGTTGAGTTAAAGTGAGTCAGAAATGACGAGTAGTGAAAAGTAGCATACAGTGTGTCACTTGGTGTTTCACATCAAGGGACCCACCCTCAAAAAAAAGCTTTTTTCAAACTGTACAGTGTAAAACCGATTATTATTTATAAAAAATACATGTAAATTCAGCATTTTTCATTAGCATATAATCTCCAAACTTAGAAAAAGAGTTCTTCAAGGAAAGAAAAAAATTAGACCGTTTTATCAAGTGATCCACTTTGACTTCTGCATGTGTTTTTGTTTTTTTTCTTTTATAAACATTAGTTTATCCAACTAATTGAATAAACTTTATCCAACTTCAAACGAATGGCTTGGCTTCAAACAAATGGCTGAGTTGATCAATTTTTGATGTGCTACTGTCAGATATGTTCACACAAGGGCATTTCTAGTGTTTATGCTTAGAAAAACGACTATTATTTTGTATAATTCGTCTATTTGAATCATTTAAATCTTCTAGAATACGAATAGGTTCGTATTTTGTACTAGGAACACTTTTAGAATCTCACTTTTTGGCTGGTTCTTATAGTGGGTCCTTTCAGAAACCTTCGATACTCCTCTGGAATGATCCTAAAGCTAATATAATTTTGTTAAAATTGTTCAAGGCCAGCAAAACAGGATTAGATACTGTAGCAAACCGTTATTCGAATTCTTATGTCAAGAATTTTAAAATTATAGTACCGTTAATGGATTTATCTGGATCCACCAATTCAAATTTTCATTTTTTATCGCTTTTTCACTTCTTATCACTTTCAGCTTGTTCCTTTGTGTTCACAAATTTCTCGGGAAAATCGCTTTATTAAAAAAACACGCAAAATCGGTAAGTAAGCTAAGGGAATGACCAGATTTGACGAGAGAAACGGGAAAGAATAAAATGCACTTCGTGAATCTTAAAATCTACTTTTTAAAGTCAAAAGAAATCTATCGAATACTCGATTCGAGGAATTAATGAGAGAAAAGTTAACGAAATGCAAATTTTCGACTGGAAAAACAAAATGATGACTATTTCAGGGGTAAGGTTTGGAAAAACATGGAAACTAAACTCTAAATTTTGAAGGAAATGGTGACAATTGCTCTAATTGTGATTGCTGTCAACTTCCTCCAGTGTACTTTGTGCTCAAAATGGGAACGCATATTCTCTAGTGCACTCAATTCTTGCGTTTTCTTTGCATCAACATTTTGATATCACTGAAAATGGAGAGTTGAGTGCCACCAGAGACTGGGTTTTTGTTCTTGAGCTAAAGCACGAGAAAACAAGCTGACAAAGCTGTTATGTAATATATCCAAATTAGAAAACTGCCCCCATTCCCATTTTAAGTCAAATCACCAACTGGGCTGAGGATCGGAAAATGTTTTTTGTTTTAAAATTGAGTAGCATTCGCGCGAAATTAGATGACAGCTGCTGACACAAGTAATCGACTGAAAATTGGATAAAGCTTTGTAATTTGCATTTAAAAAGAGACTGGTTTCTGAATCTGATTTGATTTTCTATTTTCTAAAAGTTCAGAAACCAGCCTGACAGGTTAATAAGGCAGAAAACAGAAAAAAAAACTAAATTATGCCTAAAAATAAAGCGGAAAAAGAACGAGGATTTTTCTAGATGAAGAGATGATGTCAACAATCCTCGCACAGCTTTTTACTAAAGAAAATAAAATTTATTGAAAGACGAATCTATCTCATCAACTTTTCAGATACTACAGTTTAAGCATCAAAAGGCTTTGGCTCTGTCTTTGACAGGTTTTATAGATAGTCGATTAGCTCTTTTCTTGTCAGTAATCCATTAGATGTTTCTATGTTAAAACTAGTTCAAACGCATCCTTTAAACTAATTCAATTTCTCCATTCTTACCACTTAATTCATTTTCTCTCTCATCTAGGCCTCTTTTGGTTGCTCGTACCTCTGACCAGCTGACGTGCCGCGACGAGGGCCCATTCCCCACTAAAATAGATATTGTTTAATGCTAATATCTTGAAAGTATTTGTATTCAAAGTCTGCTAATATATTTAAAGATCGAGAGTTTGTCAAGACACTATTCTAACACAAAAAAGTTTGTAAGTAGCAAAATCATCACCAAAAAATTAGATAAACTCATTCACTCCAATCAGTTTCTTTCTTGCTTCTCTAATGTAGTCATTGGCTTTAGCTTTCTAGCAATACTACCAGTATTAATTATATTAAATTCAACAGCTCACTTTTTGGAAAACAGTCACATCATCATCTTTCGTCACACAACACCACAAGATACAGGTCATTGAGATGATTGCCACAACCGAGAAGAACGCCACCCAACTGAATATAGTTTTATATATTTTCAAACGCTTTATTAAGTTATAACGGGATAGTCTAATTTTCGCCATTTTATTTGTGCAACTGGGTCTTTTGCGCGACTCGCCATAACTTTCTTCTAAGTGGGCTAACCTTTATGATTTTGGTGTCATTTTGTTGCACTTATTGAGATCTACAAAATGTCACCAAAATCATAGATTGATCCACTTAGAAAGTTATGGCGAGTTGCGTAGAAGTCGCCCAAAAGACCCAGTTGCGAAAATAAAATGGCGGAAATTAACCTACCCCATTATAAGCTAATATTTTCGTTTAAATCCTGAAGTCTTTCAAAAAACTCACACAGCAACCACTCCAAAATAGTCGAGGGTGTTGAGCTGTTGCTTCAAATCGACCATTTTTGCTGAAAAATAGAAATTGTGAGAAAATCAGAAAAAAAAACATGCGAAATGAAAAACAAAAAGTTTGAGGGCTAGAGAAAAGTGGTTTGATTTATGGACCAAGATATGACTGTGAAAAGTTTTTGGAAGCATTCTCTGAAGATATTTCTCAAGGCTTTTAACGTTTTAGATTCAAAATTGTAAAACTTTTTTGAAGATTTGCAAACTTGGATTAAAGATAAAGATCCCTCTAGATAAAAGCTTGGAATGGAGATGCAAAAATACCCGGTAGAAAGTAAGCTGCAAAAATCAAAATCCTTCTAAACTTTGAAGACAGATAGGCTTTGGCATAATAATTGGACTGTTATAGCTCAATTCTAGCTTTACTTTTAACAAGACAAACCAGCATCAACACCACTAAACATGGCAAAAACACCTTCCTTGATGCTCAACTTCCCTACACTCACACCCACTCTCGAAGCCGGTAACCAAGCCATCGCAAAAGTTTATTTGTTTTGTGAAGGAAAGGGGATTTCAAAAGGAGACAGTTCAAGTATAAACACAGGAAAAGCTCCTAAAAGATGAAGAAGAGTCAAAATCGATGAAGGAGAAAAGCTTGCTCAGTGCTTGCGTAAATGGAGAAGAGACCGGGAATTCATAGAAATGTTTGGGGAAAGAAAATGGGAAAAATGGGGAAAAGGAGGAGAAAGATGATGGGGTTTTGAGAGGATTGAGAAAGTGGGGGAAAAGGGGGACCGAACAGCTTTCAAGCTATAGAAAGAGGTGAGGGGAAGTCTATCGATTGGGGTAGGGGTCCCTTGCCTTGCCTTGCCTCACCCCTTTCCCCATCTTTTCGATCTCTTTTGCCGTTTACTTCAACCAGCCTAGCTTTTCCCACTTCCGCAGAACATATAAAGCCATTTCGAGGATCGGGAGGTGTTGAGGGTTTTTTTAGGGGAACCAACCTATTTGGGAGTCCAGCTAGGTTTAGTTCAATTAGCTATAAGATTTGAGTCAAAATGAGTACTCAGAATGACTCAAAGAGATGAACGAAGCAAATAAGTAAATAATTTTCGAATGGAAATGACTCTAAAGTTACTGTTAAATAATACTGGCATAAAAATGAGAAAACGCTTGTTAGTAATGTGTTACGGTTCTAAACATCCAAACTCTGGGTCGAAATCTTACCCAAATTGCTAAACCTTTTAACCCAGAAACACCAATTCTAAATGATTTGCCAAAACGAGAGGAATAACAAGACGATTCGCGGCTGGGTTGGATTGACTGGGGTTTATAGAGGAAAGATATTTAGGTTTTTAATAGCTTTATCAGTGATATGAAAGACACGGGTCCAAAAACCAACAAAGTGGAAAAAAACGAGAAAAGCGCAAAAGCTCTAAAACTTTAACAATTTTTAAGAGACAAGGTGCGGAAAAAAATAAGAGGAGGAGGGAAATTTTAACAATAAACAATAACGGAATAGGAAAATGGGGACATACACGCGCAAAAGACACGGCGACGCGCCGGACCGGGCAACGGTTCTTTAAAAGAATGAATTTTTGAAGGGATGGGACTTCATTTTATAGGCGAAAAAGGGAGACCGTCTCGAGTACGGTGCTTAAGTGTATTTTAGAATTGTTGGAACGGTTGGAAAGTTGCCAACCCGTACTCGAACGGCGGGAATTCGGGTTTTATTGGTTAAACAATTTTAGAAGCTAGAATTGAATTGCTATTGACAATGTGAATAGTTAACTAGACATTAAAACATTCGGCAAATCAGGCTAAAACCCTTTTTTAAATGACCAATGTGTTTGAATGCGTTTGTCAAAAGAACATAAGTCCATGTGTTTCCCAATGTCCGCGAAATTTTATGACGCATCGTTGACGAAGAAAAACCGTGGATTCTCACAATTTGAAAAGCCAAATGATTTCTGTTTCATTGATTTTTAAAAGGAAAGAAGCATGGAAACGAAAAAACAAGGCTTTCATCCAGTTTCAAAAAGTTTAAAGCATTTTCACAAATCTCATTGAGGCATACTTAGGAAAAGCTTTTTAAGGAAGTAAAGTTAAACTCTAGGTAATAATTTTGTGAAGTGATTGTGGATTGAACCTAATTGAACCACAGAAAATTTGTGTTTAGAACACCCTTTATTAGACAAGTAAAATCGTACCCCTTCTGTCTTTATTTATCACAACGAATCAGTATTTGAAAAGAATCCCCATCTCATCCAGAATACAAATCATCCATCGATTTTGGGAAAAGAAAAAAATGGAAAAGTGTGAAGTGAGCAAAAAGAAATGAATCAGACAAAAACTATCAGCATTTTCTCATTTCTTTTCAAGAAGAATTTTTCTATTTTTTTCAATGTAGAGTCATTAGTGATTTTCTGAAAATTCATGGCTTTTTATATTTAATTGTATTTGATTATCTGTATATTTCTATTATTTATTCCAATTTATCTCATTGGTTTTACCTCTAAATGAAATGTCGGGTTAGACATTTCACAGAAAACAATCAAAATCGATTTTGATTTCATCATATTAGCAAAATAAATGCGCTGTTCAAAAGGTTTGTCTGTATCAAAGGATTCAATGATACAAGAAAGTACAAAATTTGTACTTTTATCGATATATCACAATTTTCTCATTTTACTATAGATTTTCAGAACAAGTTGGAATCAACAATACCCTCGGAAATCACAAAAAATCCTTTCAATGATTGCAAAAGCTTGTGCATAATTCACAAATCCTCGAGAATCGGATTAGATTTCTTGGAAAATAATCAAAATTCGTGATTTACAGATCTTTGTTGGGTATTTGATACAAGAAAGACATTTCCGTAGAAATTTCCGAAGAAAATCAGTGCTTGATTTGATCGTTTCTGTAAAAAAAGCAGTTTATTTATTGACAAGAATTGTATCACAAGGGTTTTTGTGATAAAAAAATGTTGTTTTTGTTTAAAATTTGTGAGTCTTTTCAACTGATCCAAGAATTGGGATAGATTCTTTGGAAAATCATCTGAAATCTGGTGATTCAGAGATTTTTGCAAGACTGTTATTACTGGATTTGATCAACAATCCAGCCATTAAGAAATATAATGAATTTTTCTAATTTGCAACGAATTACTCAAGAAAATCGAGGTAGATTTTTTGAAAGCAAGCTTTTTTTTAAAGATCTCATCATATTTTTATAATTTTATTGGTTCTGGATTGGGGAAAATTTGGGGAAACTGAAGATTTGGGTTGAGATCTTTGGATTACTTTGAGCAATCACCAAAAAAAGCGCTTATGAACTTTTTGGGTCGACGAGTTAGAAGATTCAACTTTGAAATTTATATAATTTGGATATTTCCGAAAAGCTTCACGACAATTTGCTTATTTTTGAGAAATCAGATTCGATTTCTTGAAACTTCTCATTTATCACTGGGCAATCATTTAGATTCACCAAATTTCTATGCTCCCAAGAAAGTTCAAGTTATCGAGCAATCATTAATCAAATATTCAAATCAAATCAATAGTTAATAAAAGTTAATAAAAGCAATCGAGTTAGACTGCTTGAAATAAAGTTAGAATACTGTATTTTATTTATTTTTACTTTCTGGGCAAATCCCCTTGAGATTCGAGATAGAACTCAAGGGTTTCATTGAGAAAAATGACCGGATTAGGTCCTCAATTTTTATTTTATTATATTCCATGACATGAATATCTTCAAGAATCTTGTAGATTTTTGACTAAAAATATTATTTAAAGCAATTTCGATTTCGGGAACTCAAAAGGAACAGGTTTGTCCATCAAAACTTCCAAATCAAGTAAAGTTTAGATGGATTTTCTTCAAAATGGTTGACTTCATGGAAATATTTCAATCCAAACAATGCCAAGAATGGAAAATGAATTGACTTTATTAAAGCTTTTTGGTTTTTTGAACTAAATTACACTTCAACTTTTTGTTAGCTGTTTGCGAGTCTATGAACTGGTTGATTGTTATTCCAGAGCTTTCTTGTGAAAGAGCCAAAAGGATTTAACAATGGTACTAGAACAGTAATGATCTTACTGCTCTAGCTCTAGTTACTTATAGTGTTAGATTTTTACATTGCAAAATCCATTCTGTCACAAATACGATACTTATTTTAGTTAGCTGGCACTATACGCTGTCTAGTTTCAACCTCAAAAGCTAGTAATTTCTTTTGAAATGCACACTTTACCTATTTTGTTCAGTAAAGCATTTCCTAATATTAAATTAATGGGTCTAGTACTAGTCCACGGGTTTTACTGCACTAGAAAGTAATCAATTTTGATTGATTTCCATCAAGAATGTCAATTTTGAATCAGCAAACAAATTCCCTTGTTTTTCCAGACTGTCTATGCTTTGCTTTTAAAAAAGAGATCGAATCTTCTTAAAAACAACAAAAATTTCGTAGCATAAAATTTATCTTTAGAAAAAATAGAGAACAAAATCTTTAGAATGCACAAAAATGAATGAATCATCGTGTGGAAATCAGGGAAAATTTGTTGTCATCCGTTCACTTAAATCAGTTTTTTCTTCTCGAAGAAATGTAGATTTTGGCCTAAATTTTAAATAAAATTCTTTTTTTCAACTACAGTTTTCTTCATGTAAATGTCTATTTTCAACTAAATATTTCTTTTCTATTAACAAATTTCTTGGAGAAAGACAATTTCAAATTGATCACCGGGTTAGGTGTCAACTTTCTTTACGCAAACAATTCCGCAATCAACGAGAAGATTAACAAGAATTTTAGAATTATCAAGTTAGATGATCGGAATTCTTTTCTTTTATTCAACCGACGATAGATCTAGTTGATCACTAGGTTTGGTGTCAAATTTCTAAATTTCCGAGAGGAATCTCGGTATCAGGAAATCACTTAATAATGATCTTGAGAATATTTTGAAATCATCAAATTGGATGCCCAACTTTCTGTATTTTGCTTATTTGTTTATTCAACTACAATCAATCACGAGGTCTTCTTGATAGGGCTGCAAGCTCGTCATTGGACATTGAAAGGTTATTCAACTGTTCTGGCAAATTGTTTACCAAATGTTTTTTCAAGATGATGACGGAGATCGAGAGGTAATGGAAAAAGAATCGATTTTGATGATCAAAAGGTTTTTGAAGTCGCACCGTGATAGTTTCTTCTTTCAAAGGAAATTTGTCTCAAAGACATGTTATTCGGGATCAAGAGAGATTCTGAAGGATTTTGTTCAGAAGTGGCCGGGTTAGGTCCTTCTCAATGCTTTTACTGGCTATTCTTTTTATATTGATCCAATGCTACATTCAGTACAAGCCATTCGGGAAGTGATTCCGAGTCTCAACAATTTTGTAAAGTTTCTTTGTGAGAGAAAATTGACAATGATTAGAGAGAAAATCACATCTGAGTTTGTTCAGAAAAAGAATCGATTTGGACAATTGAAAGTTCCCGAAAATCTCATAGGATTGTGATTGATTATTTGTCAAATTTTGATGTGAAAAACTTGCTGCAAGAGGTGTTTCGAATAGTGGCCGGGGTAGGCCTTCTCGCTATTACTGACTGACTATTACACTGACTTTTTTTATATTCTACAACCATTTCCATTGCCCCTGAAGGTATCTGGAGATTTGCAAGGTGAATAACAAAGAATACAGAACACATTGATCAAAAAAACTTTCAGGCTCACATCAGATATCGCTTATTTTCTTCTGATTTGATCTGAAGAGTTTGCTCTGTGAATACTCGAGGGAAATCTTGTGTTCGGTTTTTTGTGGGGCTTTGTTTGACTTCAAATAATATCAAATATCTTCAAATCACTTGTTCCTCAAAAGAAAAATGTTCGGAGAGCTTTTTCTGAGTTTTTTTCACTTTACTTTGCAAGATTTTGATAAATTTCACAAAATTGAAACACTCATGATTTCTCTCTCTGGAAGGCTTCATTTATTCAGTTCAGTCAACGTTTAAACGTTTAAAAATCTTAAGTGATAAATGATAATTCAAACAAGCACTGTATAAAAAGTATGTTACAAAAAAAAACTTTAATTAATTTCTTTCATTTCCCCTTTCTCCACAGATCTCTGATAAATCATTCAAAATAGACACCTGCTTGAAAAATGTTTAATACTCACAAAAAGTTTCCTCGAGATTAATAATGGAGAGAGAACGGGGGAAAATAACCAGAGAAAGGTTTCAATCTGAAAAAATCCAAGTTCACCTCTATAATTTTCTCGGGGAGGAAATTACCGAAAATTGACTTTGAAAGAATTAATAGAACTTTGAGGTACAGTCGATTTTTCTTGAAACTTCAGAATTTTCAAAATCGTATTTCCGATGTCAAGTACATCTAGTGATTCGGATGATTTTATCTATTCAATGCCAGTTTACTTTGCTGCTACGGCTGTGTTTGTTATGAGGGTTTGGTTTTAAAACAGTTATTTTTATTGTTAAAAATATTGAAACACTTTATTAGGCTTTCGTTGCGGCTTCTTTGAACTCAAAAGTGATAACGTAGCCTGTCTGGCAACGAAGAGTTTGCAAGGCTTAGTCTGTTTCCTTACAGTAAGCCCGGACGATTGAACTTTTAGCTTTAAATGAATAACTTTAAAAACAAGCGTGTGCGATCGAATAACTTTAAAAATTTAGCCTTAGTACTGGAATCGAGTACTGTAATAAATCAAAAGGGAGTTTTAGAATGTCTTGAAGATTTCCCATCAGATATTATAAAAGCTACACACTTTTTTGTCTCTTGATCATTTTCAGTAAAAACTTTTACTGCTAAATTCATGTGAAATTAAATTTAAGTTTCATTATATAGATGTTATTTCTCCAAAAAAACTAGTCAAGTGAATGTTGACGGGGATTTCAGTGACAGTGATAACCCGTCAACTCCAGACCATTACTTATTGGGAGAAGAAAGGGTTTCATTTATCTTTTCCGAGAGTGCCAGAGATGGAATGAATGAGTCATTAATGGAAAAAAGAAGAGAACGCACAGATTTTAAAGAAATTTGGCACAAATTCGCTTTGAAAAAGAGCTTTTAAGCTTTCATTTATAAACAAATTCATACTTTCATTCAAAAAAACTAAAGGAAGTTTCATTTAAAGATTGGACAATGTTTTTTGTCGGTAATTCTCTTGATATGCGTCTGTATCTATGTGAAGATACTTCGCTCGAAAATGGTGAGTGAATTTGAGCTTTGAGATTCATTGAATTCAGTTCTGCCATCCAAATCTCCGTTTTCTTCTCATCATTCAACCGATTCTCCATTGCACTGTTATTCTGATCAATGTTATTAGTGATCTTCTCTTAATGTTTCAAGTGAAATTGAGCCATTTAGCTGATGATCTTTTTGGGACTTTGTCAGATTTTTGTGAGTTTTTTCAAGAGGTGGTTGTCCACCGATTACTTACAATTTACTAATCGTGCAACTTTTGCTCCAGTTCTGATCCAAGCCACCACAATCATGTTGCCAATCTCGATTGAACGACTAATCGCCACTTTGTATCCCGAAAAATACGATCACATTCATCAAGGGCTACCAATTCTCGGAATCTTTCTCTACCTAATGATTGTAAGTTGATTTATTTTGAAACAAATTCAACTAATTTAGGTGTTAATTGCACTCATTCTATGCACTTTATCAGAACTAGGTGAGTATCGTTAGCCAGAAAACGAAGTTTTGTCAATTTAGACATAACTGATAACAGCTATCTAGCCGTGTTGATTATGTTCTCATTGGCTGCCCTCTTTTTTCTGATCTTACCGTATACCTCGAGACGACTTTTCAAAAAGACGGCTGAGATGAGGAATTGTACTGTGGCGGCAAGGTAATAGGTTTTCGGAAAAAGAAGACACTCCATAAATTATAATCCAAAGCTTTTTACAACTTTGCGTCGACTCGTTGAAGAAGTAGGAAAAAAAGAAGTAGTTTCCTGGTTTCTCTAAAACTATTGGGTTGGTGAATTGAAAACTGCGGGACTTTGAGCTAAAATTTATTCAACATAAAACCATAAATTCATTCCAAATAATTTCCATTATTATTGACGACTTCTGTCCATTTTACAGGCAATTTGCGGATTCCTCTTTCTGCGTAGGATTTTGGTTTGTGTGTGAGACAAGTGTGAGACTCAAAAATCGAGGACTGGAGATGTCCCAGTTTGAGCACGACCTTCAAAAGAAACCCATTTTGGTGTCAATAGAAAAGTTGTAGAGAATCAAAAATTAGGCTTATAGCCAAATTTCCAAAAAGATACACTTAGTAGTTTCGCTTAAAATGCAAGTTTTGTGAAAATTCGTAAATTTGGCATTTCTTGAAAACCTTGAAAACCAGTTTTTGAATCGTTCTGAAAATTTGGATATAAGCTTCATTTTTGATTCCCTACAACTTTTCCATTGACACCAAAAGGGGTTTCTTTTGAAGAAAGTGCTCAAACTCTCACATATGACAATAGCCCGCAGTTTTCAATTCACCAACCCAATAAATCCCCACAAGATACGTCGCATTGAATTTTGAACTGTATTTACCATCTAACAATTAAATATAGATATTTCAGTGCAATTTAGATATGAATTTCTTGGGTTAAAGATCCTATTAAACTAAGTAAAATAGAAGTAAAGGTAATCACAGAAAGACCAGTAGCGCATAATTTTGGTTATAAACAGATATTTGATCATTCTAAATAACAACTAGCATTTGATTATATTTGATTATATTTGATCATATTGAATTCCCTTTCAATTCAGATACCAAACAGCGGAAAGCCTTCGCTCAGCGCATCTTCTCAAATATGTTTCCGCATATAAAACCATCTCAAATTACCTATCACTTGCTTTTTATTATTATTGTTTTGAAGCTGATGGTTATTATTTGACTTTTACTACAGAATGTTTTTACTACTATACGATTATTCAGGTAAAAGTTATTTGCTATAAATGTAATCCAGAATCTTTAGATTTTCTGTCAAATGTTGCTTACAACTTATGTTCACGAAGTTCTTCGAAATGAATTTTTGAAATTATTTAGAAGGAACAAGTTGACGAACAGGGAAGAGAAGCAGGAAGTCAGTTTTGAAATTTAAAGATTCTGAGTACTTGTCTTTTCATAGAAGGGGGCAATTTCTAAAAATGTAAGTAAAAGCCGTCAGCATTTTGCAGTACCAATTTGTATTGATCCTTGGTGATTCTTTGACTACAGACAGCTTTTGACATTTAGCAAAGACAAGTGGTAGTTTCAAAAAAGTCAATACAAGTGTTTTGTGTTCGCAAACACAGTTTATTGTCATACTGAATTTTGGTATTGCTACAAGAACTTGCTAATAAGCTATCTCTATTAGCAATTTCTTGAACAGGATAGCTGTTCCAAACTTGTAAGATTAGACAACTTCTGGCCAAAAGCCAAGTTCTGATTTTCTTATACACATTTTAAGCTCCGATCAATCATCGGCGAGAAAATCCTCTTCTCGGCGCACGAGGAACAGGAGAAATACTTTCAAATGTACGCCAATGCTTGGGATGTAAATATACAGGTGGGATAAAGTCGTTATTTCTGTATCTCTATTTAGCGAAAGGCGCCAGCAGTGTCGAAGAAATGAACGAAATTGCTGTTTTACTTTTGTCAAACGTTTGCCTTAATCTTATGAAGGAATGTGGTAAAATTTTGTGAAGAAATTGATTTTCGATGCAAACACATAAGAATAATTCATTTTCTTAACGGATTGGGCTCGCCAAGAGCACATCTCCCATTTTGAATTCCTCTCCGCTTTCTACGAGAGCATTCGGGTAATCGATTTGAAATGATAAATCACCACGGCTTGACTAAAATGAATAAATAAGTCATCAAAGCAAAGATTTTCAGAACAATCTGTATAGGCAATTCCTTTATATCACCTTTTATTTTACGCAAAGCTAGTTTTTGCGCTCGGATTGCCTTGGAAACAGGCTCAGATTTTTCTAAAAAGATAGAAAAGTGTACAATAAACATCTTCTATTTGAAGCTATTGGTGAACCTTTTCTTTATAAACAGATTTAAGAAAGCTCAAAAGACTTATCTATCAATCTAATCATAGTAAGACTCAAAATTTCGATGCTATATTTTATCGAAACCAATTTAAGCTGTAGTAAAACTTTTGAATCACTCATCTATAACTTATCCATTCACCTCACACTTATGAGTGAATTTCACGACATATGGGAGATCACCAAGCGTCATTGCATCAACTGCCCAAATGTCGAAGAATCCATTCGAATTACTGTAACCGTCGATGAGCAATTGATAGTTGCCGGTGCTGAAGTGAGTGAACAAGTGAACAAGTGAACAATACGAAACGTTGACCCACAGTTTTAGCTTCGAAAGTATCAAGTGCTTGACTTTCCTTTGGCTAGCTCATCATTACAAAAGTAAATCAATCATAAATTTCTACTTGAAAAGTGCATAGATTGCAACGTGCGCTCCATCATAGGGCTTATCTTGACAGATCGTTCTCCCGCTTGCATGTAGACGATTGAATATAGAATTCGCTTCAATCGAAACAAAGTTGATGAAAAGGATTACTACAGAAAGAAAGCTGATGTTCATTTTAGATAAAAACTCTAAAATGATACAATTTTGTTGAATGATGTTGGTTATAAATGCTGAATTGAGTGGAATAGAGTGGAATTGAGCGGTTTATTTTTGGCGTAAAGGCACAGAAATAGTTTGCTCAAAAAAGTGTATAGAAATATTAGGTTGATGCAAAAGTCTTTTTCATTTTTTTCGTCTGCCGTTTCAAGCCAACAAATGCACCAATTAAACTACGGTTGATTTCATTAGAAAAACCAATTATTTTTCTGCAAAATAACATTAAAACGGGTTTAAAAATATTTTATGCCTGGATTTTCTTGAGAGTATGAAGTCGGGTAGTCAAAAAGGGCTAACTCGATGATGCGGTTTAGACACCTTAGCTAAAGAAAACCTATCTTCGTGTCAATAGATAAAAGATAGAGAAAAAAAAGTTTGATATTTCGCCAAAATTTCAGAGAAATTCATTCAGCCAATTTTTCCGTAGAGTTTTTTATAGATTTTTACGAAAAAGGCGTTTTTCACTCTCGAATTTGCTTGAAAGTGAACCGAAATTGATTTAAAAAGATGGAAATTGAACAAAAAAACACTTTTTTTATAGAGCAAACTATAGATTAATTGGTGAATTTGTTACTTTTTAACAGAAGTACGAAAAAAACGAAAAAGACTTTTGCATCAACCTAATAGTTCAGAAAATGGATTAGTGTTAAAAGTCGATCAGATCACCATTCTTGACCAGAATCTAAAAATTAAATTGAAATTGAAAATCAAAAACTAAAAGATTTGAAAATTAAAATAGATTTTAAAGCTTATATCTATCCCAGAATTATCCCAAGCCTTAATTGAACCAAAAAATCTGAGCCGTGAACTTTTCCTCTTCCCATTTACTTTCCCCAACGAACATCAAAACAAATCATCGATCATTATCATGTTTATTTTTAGGAAATTGAAATAAAATGAAGCATTTTAAACAATTCTCTGTTTGAATGGGTGGTTAAAAATAGAAAACTGTTATTTCGAGAATAATTTTGTACCAATATACAGTAGCGGACATAATTTTGGAAACTTTTGTTTTTTCTAAAAAAATTCTCTTAGGAAAATCTGATTCGGTATGTTTACTAGCAAAAATATGTAGACCTAAAAAGCACGTAATAATCCATAGACAGAACTGCTGAACTCTTTGAAAACTATTATTTTTAATGCATTTATCTATAAACCCAGAGGACATAAATTTGGAAACTTTTAAAAACAGCTCTAAATAATGACGTAACAAACCATTCAACTTCTAAATTAAAATAAAAACAAATAAATCAATTCAATACTTTGTGGAAGATCCCTTAGAATCAATAATAGTCTGGCACCGAGCGCTCTTCGAAGCGACCAAGTTGTCGATGGTTGTTGTTTGAATTTCCATCCACTTCTTAGCCAAAAGCTCGAATTTTTCATTAAGATTATGGCTCTGAACGCCGGACAGGCTCTCTCCAGAACTTCCTATAGATGTTCAATATGGTTTAAATCAGAACTCTGGCTCGGCCATTCCATAAAATAATTCCTTCCTTCTGAAACCAGTTCTTTACAAGCCGCGAAGTATGTTTGTCCTGTTGAAAAAGAAAGTTGGAAGGCATCAACTGGAAGGCATTCAACTGGAGGGAAGCTTATGTTTCGATAAAATGTCCAAGCAAGCACGTTTGTCTATAATTCCATCAGTGCATTTTAATGGGATCATTCGGTAAGCTGAAAAGCCACTCCATACAAGATCACTACCACCGCCATGCTTCAAAGTCGGAATTACGCATCTTTTACTGAACTTTTTGTTGATATGACGACGAAAATATCGAATGCCATCAGACTCAAACAATTCGAACATACTTTCGTCCGAAAAGAGGCAAATAGACCATTGTTGAGCCGTCCAATATCGATGCTCTTCTGTGAATTTGAACCGAAGCTTGAGATTCTTTGCAGAGATCAGCGTCTTATGAGCAGGACGTCGACCAAACAATCCAAATCCACGTAAACGACGTTGTACTGTCTTTGAACTAATTTCCTTTTTGACTTTGTCAGGCAAATCCGCGTAAATCTCGACCGATGACTTCTTTGGATCAGCCTTTGAAAGAGTTTTCATCTGCAAACCATCTCGTTTTGTCGTCTTTCTGTGTTTTCCCGTATGCTTATGAGCATTTGCCGTTCCAGTTCGAGCGTATCTTTTTAAAATTTTTGATACAGTACTCTTTGAAAGACCAAGAGGTCGAGCGATAAATGTCTGCTTCTGCCTATTTTGGTGCATCCATGCATCTTCGCGTTTCTCTGTTGAAGTCTCTCTCTTGCTGCCCATCTATAAAAAAAGTTAAAATAATTAGTAGAGGTTTTAAAAGGATAAAAAGAGAACAAAAAAGTAATATACTTGAGATTTTTATGAAAGTTTCCAAATGTATGTCCTCTGGCTTTATAGATAAATGCGTTAAAAATAATAGTTTTCAAAGAGTTCAGCAGTTCCGTCTATGGATTATTACGTGCTTTTTAGGTCTACATATTTTCCCTAGTAAACAGACCGAATCAGATTTTACTAAGAAAATTTTTTTAGAAAAAACAAAAGTTTCTAAAATTATGTCCGCTACTGTAAAACAAGCTGCAGTGAGTGTAAAATGAAAGTAAAATCTTTCAATAGGAAAGATATTTTTCGCTTTGAGCGCTTTCTCACTAGCATTGACGCTTTACCGCTAAGATTTGGAATAAAACTTTGTTTAAGGATATTGCAAGTTCCAGTCTCTTTTATTACTACAATAATCTGGCAAATAGTAAACTCCATGGTAAATATTCGCTCCATAGAAAGGTTGTTGTGTGGACAAAGAGTATCGTCAAGGACCAGCAAATGGTGGTTATCATCATGAACCCAAAAACTGTCGAGGTCCAAATCCAGATCGATTCCTAACTTTGTTTTAAATCTCTTTGCAAAGTTTCCTCTCAGATACTTTTTCTATCAAAATATCGTTGCGATTTTAAGGCTTAAATTTTAAGATCTAAATGAATACGGTTTTGAACAGCCCTGCCTAAAGCTCAAAATTTGTACCCACGATTTTCTACGGTACTTCAAATTCAGAATTTTTCAAATTTTATGATTTTATTTTTGGAAAGTGATTTTAATAGACTTAGAAGGATCAAAGTTCTGAACGGGAAATTTTCAAATAAAAAACGTCAGTTGAAAATCTATTATTAACAAATACACAAAACGAACCCGTTGGTACATCAATCGATGAAAGACTTTGATCTTTTTGAGGGAACTTCGGGACTTTTGAAAGGAAAAACGAAAAACTAAGTTTATTAAGAGATCACAAGTCCATTTTGTTGTATAAAATGGGCGATGAACATTGAGATTCGTTCGAAAAACTTTTGCTGAAATGGCGATGAAAATTCTAACGCCGTTGGCTGTATTTGTGACAGGTACGTGACTTTGCCTTACTAACGTTTTCATTGCTATCTTTTTAAGCTTTTTGAAAACTTTAAAGAAAACTACTTCAAAGAACTCAACAAAGCCAACTTTCAGCTGTCTCAGCCCAATTCGAGGTTCCAATGGTTCGCAGTGTTGACAACTCAACAATTTTCCCCGTCGCTGTTCAAAATCACATTTTGGCTGTACGTTTATTATCAAAGAATGAACAGCTTTAACTTAATATTAAAAGAACTTGTACTGCACGTTATTCATTGTACTCATTTTCTTTTGTCTGTAAATAATTAGTACATTCAGACACTCAATGGGCTTCGAGCGCGAGTGGCAAGAGGAGTGGAACCGTGGGCAAGAAGTATGCATTCTTTTCACAAAAAAACTCATGTTAGCCTTGATCAGGCACTCTAAGCACAGTTTTAGAGTCTTGTATCGTACAGTATAGTAGAGCTGTTCATTTTCGGTCTGATTCTCGATAGGCGTACAACGGAAAAATGAAATTTGACTACTTCAACGACTACTTTTCAGGATTTCTTGCTACAAGAAGGTAGAATTTTTCAAGCTCTATCTAAAAAACGCTAAAAAAGTAGCCGTTGAAGTGGGCAAATGTCGTTTTTCCGTTGTACACCTATCGACAGTTTGACCGAAAATGAACCCTACATTCATGATACATGATTCGGGTACATGATAACCCAGTTTGGCCTGACTAGTGGCTTCTCGACTGATCTAAAGTAGCAATTTTAAAGGTAAACTAGTGAAGACGTCAACAATGTAAAGGTATAAGAGTCCACTTAAAAACAGAATCCAATTTTAGAACCGAAAGGCACCTTTTATCCAAAAGCGGCCAGAATGTACAAGCTGGTAAACTCTAAGAATTGAACTATACATATAACTGATTCAGCTCTGGGATCCAGTGTTGGCTAGAGATGCTCGCACACGACTGGACACACTCGAGTTTTTGAGGGATCCAAACCCAGAGGGGATTAGAGTCGGCACGTTGGATGGATTGGTGAGTGTTAGGGAATTGTTCAAAAACTTGGAAGTTTGTCTTTAGTCTTAACATTATTTATTCTTTTTATTCTTTATCCAATCATGATTTTCCATAGGTACCAATCAGTACCGACTGCTGCACTGGCGAGCTTTTCATCGGCACCATTCGTGGGACTACTCAGAACCATAAAAAAAGTGCTCAACAATACTGTGAGTTTTCTTTGAATTGGCCTGTCAAGACAAGACTACTGACTCAAGAGCTGTTAACTCTTATTTTTAGAGTTCCATTATCCCTTTATTAAACCGACTAGAATTTTTTTTAGTTGACGATACGTGGACGAAAGACTGGTATGGAAGGATGAAACTAGAAGGTGTTATTGGTGGTTTGATCTATCAACGTTATCCGCACGTCATTCACGGATATTTCTCTGAATGGACCAGTGCCGACGCGAGGAATCACATTCAACAGGTGAGAAGCTGAGAAAACCATGGTCATTGGCTATATTCTAAAAAAATAAACAGGCAAAAGTTCAGATCATTTCGGGCGACACACAGAAAATCGGCTGCGCCTACAGAAATATGACCGACTTGCAAACCTATGCGATCCTTTGCCGGCTCGTGCAAAAGTAAGAGATTGATAAGTGATTGAAATGTAATTTCTTGGCAAGAGTATATATAAAATTTTTAGGGGAGTATCTGCGGAGATTCCAATTTACGCAACTGGTGGTGCCATTGGTTCAAAATGTCCCTTAAATGCTCCAGTCAATCCAGCCAGTGGACTCTGCGTTCCAAAAGTGGCAGCTGGATAAAAAAGAAAATGTTCAATCTTTAGCTTATTAATTGCATAGTATTCAATTGTTTTTCTAGTTATTTGATGAGATTTATAAAGTTTAACAATCAGAGAAAAAATTGGAACTCAAATGCAAATCATTTATTTATTTTTCATCCATAGTTGAGCTCATCAATAAAGTAATATCCATCCGTGTAACAACCAGCACAAGTGGGATTCGGATCACGACAATGAACGCAACTGCAGGCTGGTAGTCCACTACGATCATTGTGACACCGACAATATGGATAGTTTGGGTCTGTGCAATTTGTTAGAGCACTGATGACAATCCCGTTGGTGTTGACTTTTTAATAGCACATCTCAAAGAGTGAATGGGCTAAGCGTTGCTTATCATAATGCTTACTACTCCTTTCGATCTACACGAATACCTAGAACCATCACAAAATCGTTGAATACAGGCGGTTGTTGTTGTTTTGGTTGTCGTTATAGTTGGCGTCACCAAGTTTTGGCTTGCTTGACTCGCCAAACCTACAAAACTATTCTTACTTTTCGCCTTTCCCCTACTTGCAAACATAGCCGATAGTTGATTCATTGAGTTCTAAAATGCAAGTGTTAATTTGTAGTTTTCTGTGTTTCCTGTGTCTTTACCGTACATTAAGTGTGATCGCTATTCAAGTGTCAATGCCGTGTAAGTGTCAATGCCGTAGTTGTGGTTGTCACTTTTTTTTGTCGTTGTCGTCGCTCCACCAATGTCACAAATAAAAAGAGAAACAAGAGATATGCAAAAGTTCAACATTTTCCATAAAATTCAAAAGAAATTATAACACAAATTGGCTTTGAAAAAGAGCTTTTAAGCCGTTTCATTCATAAATAAATCTACACTTTCATTCAAAAAAACTACAGGGTGCGGCGAAAGTTCTGTCCTTTTTAGAAATCTCTCTGATTGTTATTATTTCATAAGTGTTTATAGCCAAAAGATAGCCAATTTTCCACAGAATTTAAATCTTATTATCTTTTTTTAGATAGCTTCTTTAAATTTTGAGTTATTTGTTAAAAAGAGTTAAAAATTGTCATTAGTCAAACGAACGATGAAGCTCAAGAGTCTTTTTTGACAAAAGTTACGACTTTGAATTAAGTAATTTGCTTGTGGCATCGAGAATTCGGCTTGTGAAGCGAGGTCATTTTAGCCGTTTCCATTGAAAATGGCCTTGTGTTTTTGTTTCAGGACCACTAAATCGCATATGGAGATTTTGAATCCGCAAACAGAATTGCAGTCTTGATAGTTGGTTGTTCTTTTAGAAAAGCCAGTTTGTGTCTCACAATTTCTGAGAGGCACCTATTTTAGAAAGCTACCATAAACACGCCAGTTTATATTGTCATGGATCATCCGAATTTTGATATCATTGCTTGAGTCTTGTGATTCCTCATCAAAAATTGAGCTAATTAAATGAAAGCCGGCGGTTTGGTTTACGGTAGTCTGAAATACGTGCTTTAAAAAGGCAAATCATTTGATCGTTTAATCTTTTATTATTAAGTTTCATTGTTGTTTTTTGTTCTTTTAATTAAATTTCCTTTTTCTTGAAATCGAGTGTTTTCTTCTTTGCAAAATCCGCCCCACCAATTACTTGAAAAAAAGCGGCAATTGAGGAAATGGAAATCAATCTCAAGCATTCAAAAAAGCACTTCTAAACTTTATACTTGATAAGAGCAAGTAAAAGATATTCAGTGAAATGTCTATTTACGAAAATAGCGTTTTCGGGGTGATTGAACGAGGCGGCTCACAGTATCTCGAGTTGTACAATTGCAAGTGAGTCATTTGTCATGGATCTGAATCTTTTGTTACAAGTTTACTTCTTTAAATCTAATAAAAAGTTATTCCAAGGTTCTTTTATCAATCATTTTTCTAATAAGCAACTTTTTTTTTCTTGCGCAAATGTGTTTCAAGAGTTTGAGAGCCAACGAAAGTGCTGTGCATAAAGCTAAAAACTATCTACTAACTGGAAAAGCTATTCACCAACAATACCTACGGTAAATCCTGTAATAGTACCCCACCCCCATAATGACGGTGCGGAGTGTTGGGTAGTCTAGCTTTGAACGAGTTTTTCTCGACACTGGTTTAAGCTACAATAAGCGCTTAGGTATCAAAAAATAGCCCTGAATTTCAGCTTTTATTTAATACTTAAACGAACAGTGTAGCATAAATGGATGGTGAGAAAAAAGCGTTTAAAGTTAGACTACGCGATGCTCCGACCGTCATTATCGGGGGGGCTACTATTAAAGGTATTACGATATGCTTTTCTTAGTTTAGCTTAACCTTTATCTACTATAATTCAATTTAGAACTATAATTTAAACATACCGTAAATACTGTAATAGTACCCCACCCCCATAATGACGGTGCGGAGTGTTGGGTAGTCTAGCTTTGGACGAGTTTTCCTCGACACTGGTTTATGCTACAAGGCGCGCTTAGGTATCAAAAAATAGCTGAAATTCAGGGCTATTTTTTGATACCAAAGACACATTTTTTGAAAGTACGGGCGCTTGGAAAAAAATGAAATGCGAAAAAACTTTTGCGATTACGCGACTGTACGAGGGGGGTGGGGTACTATTACAGTATTTACGGTAGGTTAGATACCTTTGTATTGATCAATGTCGCATAATCTAAGTACTAGTTTACGGTAAGTATCAATCAAGAAATTCAACTCACCACAAACAACTCAAACGGTATCGGAATATTGATCTTGAAGCGCTTGTTCAGTTTAGGATTCAGAAATTCTTTTCCGACAGAGGGGGGTGGGGTACTATTACAGTATTTACGGTATGTCATTTTTGATTAATTTTTTAGTGTTGATGTGAATCGTTTCTCAAAGTTTTTTTGTAAACTTGTACAAAGTTACAAACTTAAAGTTACAAGTAAAACTTTTTCAGTGCCACCAACAAAACTCAAGCACAATGGTGGGCTGAGGGAAAGCCACGGCCGCTTCTTGGAGCAGCTCTGCTCACGTATGGAATCGTCATCGAGGTGAGCTCTAGTTTTGCTCAGATATTGTTAACTTGAGTAAAACTTAACTTAACTTAACTTCATGAAAAGCTTAAGTAAAGCTATTGGCTGAAAAGAAATTTTGTAAAAATTGTGAAGTGTAAACTGCAACGAACGATAGGGCACAACTAGCACGGTAGTTAACTTTTCACAAAAGCCTAGTTAAACCATTTGCATTTTTGATCTTCTGCCGATTGTCATTCATCATTTCAATTCGAATTTGAAGAATGGCTTTTGAGAAACAAAGACTTTTTGAAATTCATTCAGTTCGATTTTTGAGATTTTTCCGTATAATTAGTAATTTTTGGATAAACTTTAAAGAAAATTGTACTGTTGCTGAACTCCAAGAAAATTCTTAGAAAACCAAAAATTAGCCGGTAATACTATGTATAAGATTTCTTAGATGTCAAGTCTATTTTCGAGAAAGATTTCTGGTTGCCGAGAGATACAAGGAAGTGAATCTTAGATGTGAACACAAAGAAGTGAACCCTGAGGCGTACTTTGGGCTCAAAAATAAACATCCACTTATGGGAATGAAACCAGCGCTCACATATCTTTCCAAAAATAAAAGGATTACAAGCCTCAGCCAATAAGTGTTGTACACTGTTCGAAAGCCGTGAATCTCCTCTATAAAATAATGTAAAAAGATTTTGAATTGGATTGATTATTGGGGATTTGGGTGACTTTTAAGTTGAAAGGTCAAAAATGATTTTCTGGTAATAGCCATGGCCGGATTTTTCGTTAGGAAATATCGCTAATTAAAGTTAACAAGTAGCCGCAGGTCGAGTCTCAACTTGAGTACCTGTGCCTGCTGGCAACTATCGCTTTCACCTTTTGGCTTAAAATTTTTCCAGTATATTAAGGATATGCATTACGCATTATTTGTACCAAAACTCAAACGACCAACTTAGATTCTATCGAGATATGAGAATCCAAAGTTGAAAGCAGCCTTTTTCGCCTAAAATAAGTCTTTTTCGAAAAATAAACATTTAGCTCTAAAAGACGAACAAACAAAAGAACTTCTTTTCTTTTATGTTATTTTGAAGTAACTTTAATTGGCGTTATTTTCTAACGGAAAATCCGGGCATGAATATTACCAGAAAATGATCATTCTTGATCTTTCAACTTAAAAGTCACCCAAGTCTTCAATTATCAATCAAATTCAAAATCTTTTTACATTATTTTATAGAGGAGATTCAGGGCTTTCGAGCAGTATACAACACTTATTAACTGAGGCTTGCAATATTTTTATTTTTTGGTAAGATATGTGAGCGCTGCTTTCATTCCTACCACTCTAACACTTTGACGTTCTCAGTGTTCTCTTAACATCAAAAATGAAAAGTTTTGTGCACAAGATAGAGTGTGTTTCTACTTCTTAAGTACAAAGTACACTACAAAGAACAAGCCATCCACTAATTGTAAGTGTGAGCAGAAAAGCAGGTACCACAAGTTTCAGTTTAAGCAATGAAGGGTTTCTTGGGTTTTCATCAAATTCTCTGTTCCTGGACTTTTCCTGGAACCGGACTGTGTATGGCTGGGACTGTCCCAACAAGAGTAGTGTAAAGATCAACCTTTTCAGATCCTTTACATCCCATCGCTATATGTGATCTCTTGCACCGGCCTTTTCAAATGGTCCTGCTATAAAGTAAGTCATTCATCTGGTACAGGGTGCACCAAAAGTTCTGCTACCATTCTTGTATGACCTACCGTAAAAACTCTCATAGAAGCTCCCCCTCTGACCCATCAAAATATTTATTTTTTTGGGACATTTCTTGACACGAATGGATAGAATTCGCATAAATATGCCGAAATTCAAAAAATCGGCAGGGATTTTTTTCAGAAAAATTTCTGGAGGCTCCGGGTAAGAAAAGAATTTCACCCGAAAACGTGTTCTACAATCTTTTTAAGCCAAGGGCTATCGTTTAAAACAGTTTTAAAGAAAAAAAATAAATTTATGATTCATGTGGGAGACCCTTA